GAATGATACGTTTTTCGTCACAGTCCCGCTTTAGAGAAAGTAGCCAAAGTTCTTCTGAAGCAGGGAAGTAACGTTCAGCTTACGGATATAGATGGAAACACACCATTACATTTCACAGTAAACTTGCCAAGACTTCTCAAGAAAATTGTAAATAACGGTGGAGATGTTAATGCCGTGAATGTAAACGGTTTCACTCCCCTTGATCGTGCTTGTTTTTCAGAAAACAAGTCAACACTTGATGCCATGAAGCTTCTTTTGAAAGCAGGTGTTGACATTCATCGCAGTGATAACCTGGGGAACACACCTCTGCATATTGCTGTCTCAGAATATAGTTTAGAAAAAGTTTTCGATCTTTTTATTGAATATGGGGGCGAGTTTAAGGCTTCCAATCTGCTAGGAAGAACATGTCTACACTTAATGAGCAGGTTCTGTTTCTGCAGTACCAATTCTATTGACAAAGTCCTACTGCATGGAGGGCAAGTCAACGCTATTGATGAGCTCGGTAATACCCCTCTGCATCTTGCCCTACAGGAAAATAACGTGGTTATGACAAAAGGCTTGCTGAAGCATGGCGCTGATCCTGGAGCTGTTGATTCTAAAGGAAGCACGCCTCTGCACGTGGGTTGCTTTTCAGGGAGCTGGGAAGCTGTTTCAGTCGTGATTAATTACAAAAGGTATAACACCGGTTTTTAATTGTTTGGAATGTTACACATTTTCATTTTCTTCTGTTTTTGAAGTGACAGTCTAAGCCACACTGTTTTTTTGTATACCGTGGCTCCCTTATATCAAATTGAAAAACTGCTCCTATTCTGGGTGATATCGTTTTAAAGACAGCGGAAGGAACACCAGAGCGTGTGTGAAAGATAAAAGGTTACGTTGTAAATTTATGTGATCTTAAGTTCAGTGAAGTGCCATTCAAGTTCGTTTTATGATATTAAATGGGAAAATTTTTACATTATGCTCCCATCTGAATAATTTGTTTTCAGCAATCTTGAGGCTAAAGACGACAAAGGATGCACTCCCCTTCATATCTGCACAGTGTTTCATCAGAACTGCTGTGCGCTTCAACTGGTTAGAAAAGGAGCGGATTTAGAGGCCAAAGACAGTGAAGGAAGCACTCCTCTCCATATCGCCTCTGCTTTTAGTGACGTATCCACGGTCAGTTTGCTTCTGGAGCACTGGGCGAGTGTTGAATCAAAGGATTCTGAAGGCGGCATTCCCTTACACACCGCTGCTGCACTTGGCAAGGTAGAAGTCGTGCGGGTCTTAATTGATGCTGGAAGCGATGTCAATGCGTCTGACGTTGGTGACGATACACCGCTGCATGTGTCTGCAGGCTCTGGTTACACGGAGGAAGTCCGCTTGGTGCTGGATAATGGGGCAGATTTAAATGCCATGGATAAAGAAGGCCGTACACCAACTGAATGTGCAAAATTGTTTGGTCATGAAGAGATAGAACAGTGCCTTGTGGAAAGGCGGTCATTGACTGCGTGACATTCATAATTGTAGCAGCCAGTATTGAAACGGCTTTTGTTCTATTGGTATTTTGAGGTCAGACATTTTTTGTAAAAGTATACTTATTTTGAAAGTCAGTTGAAGCGTATACCCGCGGCTGTGGGTAAAGAAACCCGTGCATCAGCTGTATTGCGTAAATGATGTGATCAGCAATGTGGAAGATCATGTCGATGCTATCAGCACGAAGATTAATCAAAGGATCGGCCTAATCAAGAGAATCAGGAATGTATTGCCACTACAAACTAGAGTTACCTTGTATAATACCCTAATCCTCCCTCTTTTTGACTACGGAGATGTTATATGGGGGAACAAGAATAATGACACTATAATGTCAGAATTACAGAATAAAGCTGCTAAAATTCTGCTGGGGCTCCCATCTCGAGGCTCGTCAACCGAAGCACAGAGGAGTTTAGATCTCAAGTCTTTCTCCGCAAGAAGGTTTTTTCATCGCTGCATTGCAATCCACAAATGTCTGATCGGGGAAACTGAATTTAACTTTAATTTTATCAAAAATCAAGCTGTCCATTCATATAACACAAGATGTTCCAATGATCTTCGTTTACCCCTTCCTCGAACTAACTGGGGTAAACAAACATTTATTTATCAAGATGCGAAAGACTGGAATAGTCTTCCAACTGATTTAAAAAAAACATCTGTTATCTATTTTTAAATCCAAGCTAAAAACTTTTTTAAAAGATTTTGATGAATTTTAAACTTTGATATTTCAATCAGTTATCGATTTTAAGATTTTGACTCTTTTTAAATTTATTTATAAACACATTTTATTTTATTTAATATTATTGTTATTACTATTATTATTTTATCAGTTAAGGTAATAAGTTAAATTAATTTAACTAATTAGTTAATGAGGGCCCCACTGAAAACCGCTATAGCGAGTTGGGCTCCCTCGTTAAATATTATTATATTAAGTTACATATCAAAGATTGCTGAAGCATTGAGCATGTCTTATACTGGCTTGTTAAAATGTATAGACTTAAGTATGGAAAAGAATGTTACTTTCTCAAGCTGTTTTTCTGGTCTACTGTTGCTTTTGTCTGTAGTTCCCTTTCATTAGGTTTTAAAAAAAAATTGAAGACGTGGAAACTGATGATGTTATCACCTAGTTATGAGAAACAAAGCAGTGGCGCAGTCAGAAGTATGATTGTTTAGAGTTTTTACTATCCAAAGCTGCATATTTAGATTTTTTTAACTGAAAGGAAGGTGCCGAATACGCTTAGCGAGAGTTGGTAATTTATCAAATAACTGGACATCAAGCGGATTTTTCTCAGTTGGGATAGAGTTTTTCGCGCTTTTTCAACCGTCACAAGCGAGTGATCGGGTCATCTGACGTAATCTTAAATCCCGCAATTGACACTCAAATGTTTTGTTGTTCGTCGGCATTCCTGGGTTTAACACCTCGATCGCGCTTGTAAGAAGCCCAGTGACATTGACGCGGCGCCAGTTTTTAATTAAACTTACACCCTTTATTCCTTTGTAGGCTGATGAGTTTGTTGATCCAATGTTTGCTAAATAAATGTATTAACAACGAAAGATGTTATTCGTCTTGCTAGGATGTGTTGAAATTGATGCATGGATGTACCTGCCAGCTATGTCCAGATGTATGGGAGTTTACCGACCCAAAGGAAGTAGCTTTCTCTTGTTTTTTTTTTTATTTATTTTAAGCACTTGTTGCAGGCGAAAATTCGAAGATTTCGTGGCTATCTTTTCTAAGCACAGGATGGTTGGAAGGGAAAGAAAGTTATCCCAATGAAAAAATAGAAAACGGAGTGGGGGAGGAGCTTTTTATCCGAAACCTACTCCGTCAAACATGATGGCTTTGCTAACGATCAACGGTTGATGGCACTAACTCACTTCCCCATAATGGCAACGAACTGCAGTCTCGCGGAAAGGAAGGGGAGGGAGGATGAATTTGCGATATGAAGCTTTTTAATCAAAACGTTTAGAGAAAGTAAAGACCAAAGCAATGCGAGTGTATTCGTTTGCCTCTATTTCATATCTTTGTGGTGAGTTCTCTCTCTCTCTCTCTCTCTCTATACTCTCAAATTCACTTGTGTAAACTAGAAAATTGAATGATTACGATCATCGTTGAAACAGAAATTCTGACCAGACTCGACTTGACACAGATATGATAGTGGGGCGGTTAAAGAAAGTTAAGCCTGGAAATGGTACAGGTTCACCAGGAAATAATTCCTCTGCAGAATATCACACTATTCTCATGACCGGAGTTAAAAATACACATCACTACAAAGCTGAAAGAGAATTCTCGATGATTGTAATAGCGCAGGACGATTCCATACAGCGCAAGCTAATGTTAAACTCATATTGATGATCAGTTCATATCCGTGATTGGTAAAATATTCTCTTCACGACAGGCGACAGTTTGTGCTTAGGCAGAATACCCAAATTCCTTGGCGTCGTCATCAGTGAAGTCTCCATAACGCCACAGGTTTACCTAGCAACAAGAGAAAAGAGAGCAATACTATTGACTTCAGCCAGATTGTTCAAAATATAGCTTTTTTTTTTTTGTCTCAGAAGAGTAGCATTGCAGGAAGTTGCGTGTTTCAAATTTTGCTCCCATCAGGTTTGTCTTACAATACACTGAAATATAAGACAAGTTGAACAAAACGCTAGCCCTGTAATATGCGATTAGATTTTCAACAGGAACAACGTCATGCTGTTTTAGTGTTGAGCTGATTGCTTAAAAGTGCAGGCGACAAAACAGGTTTAAAATCAACTTCAGTTACATATATGCGTCGCGCGTTTTTAACGAATGTGATGTGTTTTTCTTCCTGTGATTCTAAGGCATTCTCAGCCTTGAGGCTGACCATTCCCCAGAAAAGTTGGAGGTTTAATCCTGAAATGACGGTAAACACCTTTCGCTCAAACAAGTGAAGGGATCACTTTCGTTTTGAAAATGGATCTAGGACAACAATAGGAGAAAAACCGTTGATAGAGAAGAAGTAACCTTTGGGGTAATCAGCAAAAATCTAGGTATGCTTTGTTTGGATTGTGGAAGATCCCGTGAGCCGTTATACGCTGCACTTCCGATCGAGATGTCCCAATTCGAACCTTTGCTAGGTCTTTGCGCTTTATCATTGGGAAAGATACTCTACTATGACAGTGCCTCTTTCAAGATAGGATTACAAACGGAGTATACACAGGAGCATAAAAACGGGAGACACTTACCCTGGCTTTCCTTGCACCATCTTGGGCCCTGTTATACTCCTCCATCAGTTTCTGCAGTCGTTTCTCCTTTCTCTTCTCAACAGTAACCAGGCCTTCCGTGACAAGAGATTTGCAGACATCATCCCCATTCTCTTGCACAAGTGTCACGAAATCCTAATGACACAAACCCACAGACAAATAGGTCACCCATCGTGTGCTGTAGATATGGTGCCCTCTGATAATCCCAGGCAGGAATTTTAGATTAGAAGGGTCCTACACTAGCGCCCTTCTCCGGTATTTTGGGACATTCTTGATTGTTTTTTTTACCAGAAATTTTAAATTGAGTTGCGAAAGTAATCTGGGATTAATTGGTTTTGTTTTACTTCCCTGGACCATGAAACTTGCGCCACAACTTTCTACAACAATCAGATTCAAAACTAAAACCAAATAGTGACTTGGCCATTCGCGTTTTTTCGGCACTTCGGGCACTTTATTTTTGTTACTTTGGTTTTGGCTTTACAACACTAAATGTAAACGCGCTAAAATGAATGAAATAACTTAGAATTATCAGGGATATCGAGAAGGTGCAAAAGACCGAGAAATGCGAAAAAAAAAAATATCGTAAAAACCAACTAAATTCAAGACATGTATGACGCCCGAAATTGGAAAGGAATGCTAACATTCTCACAACCGACCCCCTCCCCTCCCCCCTCTTCAACTAAGCCCTTGGGTAATAGCATTGCGTATAAGCCTGACTTCCCGAGTGCTCTCAGAAGTGATTAATAGCAGTACTTCTTACATACATACATAGGTTAATCGACCACTCCCCATAGGGGCTTTTCAGGGCCAACACCCACCCATCCAACCCAGGGGAGGACATCCACCACACAGTAATCTCGTGCGTGGGAAATTAACGTCTCCTACCCCTAACCCTGCAGAAGACGGGGCCCACAGTTTATTCGGCCTTATCCGAGAAGACTAGAATATCTATCCATTTCTTGATTATAGCAAGGTAGCAAATTACCTGGCCTGAGGATTTGTACTCCACATTAAGCATAAACTGTCGATTCTGAAAGGGGAAAAAATAACTAAACAAGAACACAACTTTACACTGCTTGACTACTTGGGTTAAATTGAGCTTAGTGTAACCCGCCCATCCACCACCACTCGCGTTTTTTATAATCTTTCTTATAATCGGTCAAACGCGTGATGCTTCTGATAGAATATGTATGACATCTTCGATTCTAAGGCGGTGATCGGATGACGAATGTAACTTCTTCTGTCGTGTTTTGGCACCAACAGATTATTTAGAAACTGTTTGTTTTAGCATTCAAACCCAACAGTGCAGATAGCAAACTGAAATAAGCACCGGGAAAGATCTCTAAAAAAAAAGTCTGTATTTAAACTGCCGATAAATTACGCAAGGTAGGACCGTACTAAAAAAAAAAAAATAAAAACTTACAACGACCAGATTTCTAAAGGAATCCAAGGCATCAGCAACTTGTTCCACCTGACAAAATAGATACGAGAAAAGAATTATTTATCTTCTCCTTTACAAAGCATAAATCCACTGTGAAATGGAAGAGGCATGACAGTGAAGTACACTCTATCAGGTTTAATTAAAACCACAGGACAAACAACCACGTGCGATCCTTTTAGCAGTAAACCGCACATTGGCCGAGTTTTTCAGTGCCTACCCGATAGTAACTAGGTACAAAATAGCTTGAGAGTCACACCGCCCGCAAAACTCCGCAAGTGTGGAAGGAGGGCCGAATGTTTCGTTATCAGGTCCAGTTATCTTGATATATTTTTATTTTGTGCAGAGAACCTTGATTGAGATGGAGGGAGTGGGGGATACAAAACCCTTTCTACAGAAAGCAACTGAAAACATCGTTTTGCAGTCGAAAAATATTGGAAGTCACATCAATACATAGTTGTAACCACTTGAGCGGAGATCATAATCCAAAATCGTTAAGGTAGGGAAGGAAAAATCACTTACGTCTTTTGGAAGTTCAATAAACGCCATACTATATTCATGCGCTTGTGGAGGAAAACTGAAGGGAAAAAGTCGCAATAATTTGTTACAATTAAACCGCCATATTTCTTGCAGAATTATTGTTATTGTCAAGCTTACGTAAAGCACCACTCAAACCTTCGCAATAAAAGTATTCTTTGTGAATGGGACATTCAAATGAATCTTTACCATAAACAATTACCTGTGGAATGCTGAAGGTAGAGGGCACAGCTTGGATAACGGTAACACTTCTCTCTGTAAGGAATGAAAATTTACAAATGTTTTGAAAAGTGCACGAACTTTTTATCACCAGGATAAGCGCAGCCGAAAGCAAAATCGGTCTTAGCGCACGGAACTTCACCAACACTGTATACAGTAACTGTTTCTCACTTATGAATAAGTCCACGAAAACTGCATATAATTTGTGTAACAACTCAAGGAAATACTTCAAGCCTGTTTTCCTTACTGCGAATGAACTTACATTT